ACTGTGGGTCTCAGGGTGGGTCTCACTGTGGGTTTCTCTGTGAGTCTCACTGTGGGTCTCACTGAGTCTCAGGGTGGGTCTCACTGTGAGTCTCACTGTGAGTCTCACTGTGAGTCTCACTGTGAGTCTCACTGTGGGTCTCACTGTGAGTCTCACTGTGAGTCTCACTGTGAGTCTCACTGTGGGTCTCACTGTGGGTCTCACTGTGAGTCTCACTGTGAGTCTCACTGTGGGTCTCAGGGTGGGTCTCACTGTGGGTCTCACTGTGAGTCTCACTGTGAGTCTCACTGTGGGTCTCACTGTGGGTCTCACTGTGGGTCTCACTGTGAGTCTCACTGTGGGTCTCACTGTGGGTCTCAGGGTGGGTCTCACTGTGAGTCTCACTGTGAGTCTCAGGGTGGGTCTCACTGTGGGTCTCACTGTGGGTCTCACTGTGAGTCTCTCTGTGGGTCTCAGGGTGGGTCTCACTGTGGGTCTCACTGTGAGTCTCACTGTGAGTCTCTCTGTGGGTCTCACTGTGGGTCTCACTGTGGGTCTCACTGTGAGTCTCACTGTGAGTCTCAGGGTGGGTCTCACTGTGAGTCTCACTGTGGGTCTCAGGGTGGGTCTCACTGTGAGTCTCACTGTGAGTCTCACTGTGGGTCTCACTGTGAGTCTCACTGTGAGTCTCAGGGTGGGTCTCACTGTGAGTCTCACTGTGGGTCTCAGGGTGAGTCTCACTGTGGGTCTCACTGTGGGTCTCACTGTGAGTCTCACTGTGAGTCTCAGGGTGGGTCTCACTGTGAGTCTCTCTGTGGGTCTCAGGGTGGGTCTCACTGTGGGTCTCACTGTGAGTCTCTCTGTGGGTCTCAGGGTGGGTCTCACTGTGAGTTTCAGGGTGGGTCTCACTGTCTCTCTGTGGGTCTCACTGTGGGTCTCACTGTGGGTCTCACTGTGGGTCTCACGGTGGGTCTCTCTGTGGGTCTCACTGTGGGTCTCACTATGAGTCTCACTGTGGGTCTCAGCGTACGTCTCAGGGTGGGTCTCACAGTGGGTCTCACTGTGGGTCTCACTGTGGGTCTCAGGGTGGGTCTCACTATGAGTCTCACTGTGGGTCTCAGGGTGCGTCTCAGGGTGGGTCTCACAGTGGGTCTCACTGTGGGTCTCACTGTGGGTCTCAGGTTGGGTCTCACTGTGGGTCTCACTGTGGGTCTCAGGGTGGGTTTCACTGTGGGTCTCACTGTGGGTCTCAGGGTGGGTCTCACTGTGAGTCTCACTGTGAGTCTCAGGGTGGGTCTCACTGTGAGTCTCTCTGTGGGTCTCAGGGTGGGTCTCACTGTGGGTCTCACTGTGAGTCTCTCTGTGGGTCTCAGGGTGGGTCTCACTGTGAGTTTCAGGGTGGGTCTCACTGTCTCTCTGTGGGTCTCACTGTGGTCTCACTGTGGGTCTCACTGTGGGTCTCACTGTGGGTCTCACTGTGGGTCTCACGGTGGGTCTCTCTGTGGGTCTCACTGTGGGTCTCACTATGAGTCTCACTGTGGGTCTCAGCGTACGTCTCAGGGTGGGTCTCACAGTGGGTCTCACTGTGGGTCTCACTGTGGGTCCTCACGGGTGGGTCTCACTATGAGTCCTCAACTGTGGGTCTCAGGGTGCGTCTCAGGGTGGGTCTCACAGTGGGTCTCACTGTGGGTCTCACTGTGGGTCTCAGGTTGGGTCTCACTGTGGGTCTCACTGTGGTCTCAGGGTGGTTTCACTGTGGGTCTCACTGGGGGTCTCTCTGTGGGTCTCACTGTGGGTCTCTCCTATGGTTTCAGGTGGGTCTCACTGTGGGTGTCACTGTGGGTCCCCGGTACCACCAAGCGAGTCCGCGCCGGTCCCTCCAGGTGTGCTACAAACGCAGCTTGATCCGGAAATAATGACAATGCTCAACCTTTGTTTCGGACATTAATATTTCACTTATATTTAATTTTAAAAAATTAAGTTAGATAAACTACCCTGATTCAACTACCCCTATTCCTACGCTCTAAATGCCCCCCACCCCACCCATAAAAAAAAGTTCCGGTATCATGAATCATCTCGCATTACTTGTGCAGTATTTAGAGAGAGAGAAGTGAATACGTTTAGTCACCAGGGGGATGGGGGGGTTCTGGGTGGTGGTCCGTGGAAATGTTTGCATCGGCCAAAGTTTGAGAGCCACTGGGCTCGAGAAACGCACACGTGGCGGTTGTGAACGTCACTGCCATTGACCGTTAAGTTGATGCTACCCAGTAGCACCCGTTACACACAAAGTGCTTGCCACAAATAAGCCACAATAACTTGCCGATCTCGTCAAGGAGCATAAACCATCACCACGCGAACTCCGCTCATCCTCTCAGCAGCAGCGGCTTGTGGCTGGCCATCGAACAAAGATTGTGGCCACCCCATCGCGCGCTTCCAGATGCACTTCTGTGGCCGTCTGGAACGCTCTTCCAGTATTAGGAAGTCACCGGAGCTAGGCGCTTTTAAATCTAGATTGAAAGCTAATATCATTAGAGGTGCTTTTTGTGTTTGCTGTCCTTCCCCGCAGCTCTGATTAGCACGGTTGGCTATGTACGATGCGAAAGAAGTTCAACAAGCGTACGTAGTGAGCGATGAGCGTGGCGATGAACATCGGTGAAAAAAATACTCCTGCCGAGGACACGTCCACACATTCAACGCTCGCAAGTCTGAGACTCACCACGCAAGCCGCCACCAGCTGTGCTTCTCCTATTTACCCAGAATGCCATGGCACGCCGTAGACTCCCATAGGCCCTTCTCCTCAAACGGAGCTGTAATGCGCTGTGCGTGTATTTTATAGCGAAACATCAAATCTGATGATCAGCTTTGGCGTGGACTGTTTTTCGGATGTACCGGTTTGCCGAAATCAACATCAGTTGGCACGTGGTGTTCACGTGATATACACTTGTTTGGCTGTGTCAGGTGGAGGATATACCACACCATTTGGCTGTATACTTATGCAATCAAACCCAATTTATATTTATGAATCGTACGTGTTTAAAAATCTGCAATCAAACCCAAAGATCCTCCACGTATTCCAATCTCCTCCCAGTAATTTTTTTTGGTAAATATCTTTCTTAGAATGCTCAACAAATGTATTATTATTTTCTCTTCCCTTAAGGAACTATTTTTTTTTATGTCCTGTGGCAAGTGAGTGATTGAAAATTTGGTTTATTCAAAAGTTGAACAGGGAGGAACTACAAAAACAGTAACATCGCCGAGAAACCTCGGCCAGCAGAAAAGTAGTGTTCTCCAAAAGGAATAAATTAATGCTCAAGAGCAGAAGCAAGTAAGTTGTGAATTTACTAAAACATCAGTAAGCAGCCTGACGAACTGCCTAATACAACGCTGCTTAGGTTTCGCAGCAAGCGACGAGTAGATTCCTTCATTCAGTAGTCTTCACCTTTCAAGATTTGTGACGAGCGTTAAGACGGGAGACTGAAACTCCTCAAATGAAGGAGGTCATGTAAAGCCTCGCAGTAGCAAAGGTACCATGTGTGTGTAAGCTGTAAGCATCCACTGCTATTGTTTCCGGGACAAAAAATAAACCCGATTTGGACATTAACAAACAAAACCGAGGCCCTGTCGCACAGGCTAAAGTTACCATACACATTTTCTTGTAAAAACCAATCAGGTAGAATTTATTACAACACGTGCGATTCCACGGACGTTACTGAGAGACCACACAAACGAGTCGTCAATAAATGAATGGGAAGATGCGATATTTCACGCGGTTGCAATAATCTTCCCACGCAGCTCCGTACTTCTTGCCACACTGGTTGGCATCCCGAGCCTCGCGGTGGACCAGCAGACCCAGGAAGTAGAGTACGTAGAAGTAGGGCAGGATGTGAGAAAAACCTGTACGAGAAGAAAACACAAATGGGTTACGGATGCCGTTCCACAGAGCGATGCACTTAATCCATAATAGTTTTTTTTGGGTTAGATCGTGTAAATAAAAATGTGTAATTGAACCCGCTGCCACCACTAGTAGGGTTTGTCACTTAAACAGAACATGCCAATTCACATGGACGTCGCCTTTCCCATTTGTCCCATTGGCGGTTATAGACATCCACAGGTGTTTAACACACTTAACTTCTAACTTAGCAATCTATGGAAAAACGTAATCAACCAGGCTAGGCGTTATTGTGTGTTGACCGACTCTCCGTGTTGCATTGCATTTCGAAATTTTGCTAGGTTATTTAATTTAGTGTGTCTCTCTCTCTCTCTGTCTCCCCTCATTTTTGTCGTTTTGTCGTTTTTGCGCAGGCTCAGTGCCACTCATTGACATGCTAATTTCTCTACCCCCCGCCTCTCTCTCCGCCCCCTCTCTCTCTATATTTAAGGCCTCGACACAGAAGCGTGGTTTCTCTGTGTGCCTATGTATGTGTCTCTCTCTATGTATCTCTGTGATATCTCTCTCTGCTTATATGTCTCTCTCAAATTTAGCAATCTCTGGAAGAACGTAATCAACCAGGTAGGGTGTTGACTGTTGTGTTAGCCGACTCTCTGTGTTGTATTACATTATATTTCTAAGTTTACTAGGTTTGTTTTCTATTTCATTTATACCTGATGATGATTGCTTGTGTTGCAATCGAAACGTTGTATGCCATTATTTAATTTATTATTTTCTCTTTATACGTGACTTTACCGAAAGAACCAAAGAGTAACACGTCGGCCTTTCGTGAGCCAATATCATCCTGAATGGAGCCTCATCAGGCCGTTGTTGTAATTACCGGCGAAACATGACGGTACTCGAATTGTGAATGTTGTGGTGGGTTTACTCTCCAGCACACAACCGGTTAGTGCTGTACTCGTAACGAATCGGCACGTTGTGTTTACGTGACGAACCTTACTAATTGGCTATGTCGGGTGGTGGTGGTGGCGGGTTTAACGACACATTTATATTTACGTGATCTAAAAAATAACTGAAGGTGTTGATGCCTTCAGGGAAGTCGTGTGCTGTATACGCAACTGCGCACAATTCTGTGAGTCACTTATAACTGCTTTGCCGTTACTTATTGCCAATTATGGACTATTGCCCTATCATCTCATAGAGTCCCTGGTACATAATAACATGCTACACAGTGGCAGTGGGGGTCACAAAATTCCGATTTATTACAATAAACCCCAATGATCCGATCAAAATTATGGATTTCGATCGGATCATTGGGGGGGGGGGGGGGGCACGTGCCCCACCCCACTAGTGGCACCCGACTATCCAGGCCCAGCTCGATCCGCCAGGGATCTGCGATCTTGTCACAGGCGCTTCTCACTTTGTTACGTGGGTCCACAACATCCCCAGGAGCCTGCGGAGGACAAAGGGCAATCTGGGGCAATGGACGGGCACGTGCTACAAGAAGCTCAACACACCAAGGGTTGAGAAGCGCCGCCTGAGCAGAGGTCGCAAACGGGTTTTGATTCCTTACCCGTACCCGTACCCGGCCGCACCAGGGTCGCAAATGGGTACCCGTACCTGTACCCGGCCGGGTACGGGTAGCCGTTCCCTACCCGTACCCGTACCCTACCCGAAATGACTCACGGCCTACCCGTACCCGTACCCGGCCGCACCAGGGTCGCAAACGGCTACCCGTACCCGTACCCGGCCGGGTACTCGACGTGTACTCGGCAGGAGTAATTTGTTAACCGACGTTAATCGCCATGCTCATCTCTCCGTATGTACGTATGTTGAACTTCTTTCGCACCGTACGTAGCCAACCGTGCTTATCGGAGGTGCGAAATTATCTCAGAAAGGGGCTCCAAATGTTGCAGAAATCCCATTCTTTACCATTTCTATCCGAGGTGTTCCAAGGAGGAAGCAGGAGTTGATATGAGGAGCTGGCCCGTGTGTTACCGATAGGGCTTCATGCGACTCCCAGCTGCACAGAATGGTTTTCTTGGCAGTTTATTCAGAAGATTTTGAGTCGCGTGTCCCGATATATAGAGATACCTGCTGGCCTCATGCCCAACAGTGATGTTTGTATGTTGGGGTAGACCGTATTGGTCACCCCGTGCCCCTAAAAAATCTCAACGTCCATCCCACAAAGTCCCATCACAAGGGAGAAACACAAACAAATAGACAAAACTAATGTTGCCCGCATTGAAACGGCTGTACGCCATATGGACCTGAAAACTCAATTGCCCTGTTCACAAATACGGCTAAACCGTGTGGGTTGACAGGTGTGTGCACGTGCTGGAGCAAGAGGAGGCTGTCACGTGGCTCTGTGGCTACGTGGGCTGACGTTCGCTCACGTAACAATGACAAACACACGCGTTTATCTTTCATGCATACCTGGTGCTCTAATTGTACGACAGTCACGTGTAAAAGCATTCAATAATAATAACAAACAAAATCACAATTGATAACAAAACGTCTTGTACGTCTGCCCATTTTCAGAACGCACCTTCCTAATTTTGACAAGTTTCCGGAGGGGGAGGGGGGCGCCTGGGGGGAACTCGCAACATTCACTGCGAAACAGACGGCGCACGGCACACGGTGGCACGATTACGGTTGTTACGCACCGCAGCAGTAGTAGTACCCAGGGCGGCCGCTGGATTCCAACCGCGAGCCTCTACGGCGCTGTGCCGCTGGGCCGTGTAAGTAAGCGCGGCGAGTGGTAGCGACGCTGTACGTAATAGTGGGGGTAAATTACCGTCCGCTCTCCCATAATACGGCAGGAGCAGCTGCGCTCCTGAAGAACACCGCGTTCAGCATCCAGCAGCTTTCATACTCTCTAGACTTAGTTCCCCATCCACTCGATCGCGTTGCGGATCCAATTCGCGTCCGCGTTGTGAAAAAATAATGCGCTCCCCAATTAGACTCATCGTCGCGTTACTATCCCATTCGCGTGTCATGCCAAGCCGCGCTGGGGGAGAACGGTCCATGAAACAGCAGCAGTGTAAGCGGAGAGCGAAGCTACTGACCGCATGGTAGCGACCAGGACAGGGCCATGACGAGGTCTCCCAGGTAGTTGGGGTGCCTGACGAGGCCCCACCAGCCCGACACGAGCAGCCGCTTGCCACTTGCCGTGGGGATGCTCTTCAGGTCTGAAGCGCAGAAGCGAACAGAGGTGAGGTGGGGGGTGAAACGGTCGCGTTGCCACGACCCCCGCGCTCAAACCAGCAACACGGCGGTGCACATCAATACTGACTGCCCCCCAGAGGTCGCAATCGGGTACCCGATACCCGTACCCTACCCGATACCCGGCTACCTGTACCCGGTCGGGTACGGGTAGCCATTTGCGACCCTGGTGCGGCCGGGTAAGGAGTCAAAACCCGTTTGCGACCTCTGCTGCCCCCCTCCCCCCCGAGCTCGCAGTGGAAATTCCACATTCCGAAGGCTGATGCACCAGTCTCTATTATGTGACAGCTGTTGAAACTGTCAAGGTGCATCCCTGCAATTTCCTTGTTCCTGCCACTACTCGTCTGATTCTTTACCAGACTCTTTCCTTCTGCTGGAGGAATCCGATTAGCTATAAAGCTCTTCATCACAGATGTCCAGTCGTGAAGGACACCTCCAACTAATAAGAGCTCTGGAGAGCCCCTGCCGAAGGGCATTTGTGGCCGACAAGGATGTCTTATCCTTATACTAGATCAGGCTTCAGGAGAGAGTTCGTGCGGTTGGCTGTTCCTCCTCCTCCTCCGTTTAAGCAGCACAGACTACAGATGATTAACTAGGTGGTCCATGGTTTGGGTTGGCATGGCCACAACTGCACTGCTACTGTGGCCTGTCTTTCCTGTCCATAATAAAGGTTTTTGGGTGAGATCGCGTAAGTTTAAATGTTTTGTAAAACGCCGCCACCACCCGACGCAGCCAATTAATAAGGTTTGTCACGTAAACAGAACGTGCCAATTCGTGACTAGCACAGCACTAGCCGGCTGTGTGTTGGAGAGTGAACCCACTTGTGCACCACGCGGTGACTTAGGCAGCCGCTGGTCAATCAGGGCAATACGCGCCATGTGGTCTGTACGTTCGCGCGTGCCAATCGGTGCGTTTCGCCGCTCAAATTCTACTTGAATCGGTTGCTGATTTTTTACTTTCAGAATTAGCTTGCATTTATGTTAGGTATGTTGAACTTCTTTTGCACCGTACGTAGCCAACCGTGCTACTCAAAAGGTGCAGGGCAATGACTACAAACGCAACACTATAAGCAGTTTGAAAGAAATGCGTTTTCAATCTCGATGATGATTTAACAGTACATAGCTCCGAGTGGCTTCCTCGTTTCGTAAGGAAGAGCATTCCAGACGGCCGCAGGAGCGCATCTGAAAGCGGGCGATGCGGTGACCATCGTCTTTGTTCGATGGCCAGCCACAAGCCGCCGCTGAGAGAATGACCGAAGTTCGCTTGATAATTTACGCTCCTTGGCGAGATCAGCGGGGTATCGTGGATCTACTGGAATCGGTTGCTGATTTGTAACTTTCAGAATTAGCATGTATGGATGTTGAACTTCTTTCGTAACGTACGTAGACAACCGCACTATTAGATAGGTGCGGGGCAGAACAACAGACTAAACATAAAAAGCAGTTCTCAAGAAATGAGCTTTCAAATCCAGCTTTAAAAGTGCAAATCTAGAAAGAAAACTAATTCCTCTGGAGACAATCTTGATTTGACTTGCTAGTTTACCAACAACAGTCTAAGAACCGCCAGTGGGCACTCGCGAAAAGGCCCGACCGATAAAACCGCTTACGTGAGACGGCGTGATCGTTAGGGTTCCTCCGGAAGGCATTTTTCTGCGAGTTCGCTCCCCGGAAAATGACGTAGCCAACACCTGAAACGACCACGGCAGGTTGACAACGAGACACAGCCGTACGCGCGGCAGGCAGTGTGCTGGTATAACGCGGCGTTTGCATTCCGGTTTAGAACAGAAGGGTAAAGAAATGCGTAGTGAATGAGTCTCGAACGGAGAAGAACACCAAATTACTTGACACAGAAGGTAGAAGGTTATAAGCATCGTGTTAGACTGGCGGACAGGCGCAAAGATAGTTATCCGATTGATTCTTGTGAGCAAAGAGGTGTTTACCTCCATTACTCTTCTTTGAACTTTCTTGTGTGTAACACGGGGAACTTATTTATATATAACGTCACATCTAAAATGTCGTTTTTCTTCTCCTTGCTACTCCATTTAATGTTAAACTAACGTAATAAAAGTGTATTATTCTCCTTTGTGGTATCGAAGGCCACTTTGGAGATGTTCCTGATTTTCTGTGTCATCCCAGGATGTAATTTTGATTTGAATACACTATTTCCCCCCCCTGTGCAATTTTCCCATTGTCATTAATTCCAACTTGCCTGGTGTTTGTGTCCTCTTAAGTGTATTCCACTACCTCCGTGTCAACTCCTAACACTAACTGCAGTTTGTGTTTCTGTTATGTTCCATCTTCTAGAGCTTCTTGTAAAAACAAGCGAATAATGAACGGGACAGATGACACTTCACGGACAAGGGAATGCGACTGGGCCTCACTCCTTCACTTCCATCCGTCTCAGGGCTCGGAAACCAGAACAACAAGAAGAGGCAATTTCTTCGAATTCGGTAAAAAAACAACAAAACATTTCGAGAGGCGCAATGCACGTGAATTCCGAGATGGTACTTAATAACGTGAAACCATATTTTATAATCACAATTTGAAGAACAGCACACGGGCAATGATTTGTAATGCTCCATTACAAGTCATTACAAATAATTTTTGGGCTTTTAGACGTTCACCGTTTATCAAAAACAATGAGGTTTTTTGTTTGTACTTTGCAATTACAGGTGCCGGGAGCCACGAAGTGGTCCTCAAAGAGCCGCATGCAACTCCGGAGCCGTGGGTTGCCGACCCATGATCTCTGTCTGGATATTCCAATTAAATTATCGTATTCTTTGTGTGCCCAGTATACATTGCTAACAAGGTGTGCTTCTTAACAGAGGGGACTTGTTCGCCTGTGGCCGCACCTGCGGCATTAAAGCATCCTGCACATAACCGACGCCATCTTTCCGTGACCTAGAAATCAACAGCGAAGTTCAAACTCTGTGGACCCCTCCCCTTCCCCTTTAGGTCCCTCCACTCCCTATTTTGACCCCACCTCTATTTTCTAGGCTCCCCCCTTTCTTCACCCTCCCCCCCACCCCTTCCCACACAGAGTGAGTGATGGTGAGGGCTGTGGAAGTGGGGCAGGGGGGGGCAGCAGTGGTAGTAGTGGGCAGGGCCAGGAGCATTAGGGGGTGCGGCAGCTTCACGACTACAGCCAGAATCACTCAGAGCAGCAGGATAATGAAAATAGATATCTACTCTATCAGCAGCACCTGGTTCTTGTTGACAACAGCAACAAACCGAGAGGCAAACTGGTTGCAAATAAAGCCACGGCGACACTTACCCTTCACGACACAAATGAGAGCGGCCGAAGCGTAGCTGATGCTCTGGGGGTGGCTGACGAGGTAGTTGGCCTGCAGGCTATAGACGAACGGCACCCAGGCTAAATCTCCACACACGAGCATGAAGCCAAACCCATCGTGCACGATGTCCATCGTGGTCAGGATGCACTCCTGAGAGGCACGGACACCCGCGGTTGTTAAGCACCCCTCGCAATTCAACGACACTTGCCTTGGCTAAATTATAAAGAATAAAACATTGCGCAGGTTTTTAATCCGGCTGGGTGGTAACTTTGTGCGAGACTCGCCGTCTCAAAGTTCACAAATTCGAATTCCGGCTGGAACCGACTCAAGGTTAATGTCAATAAAATGAGTACTAGAAAAAAAATGCAATCAACATTTCAATATTCTCACCTCATTCCATAAAGCATCCGCTACGTATATGAACTGAAATATGATGACGAGTATGAGTGGCAGTGAAGGGCCAGTGCCCTGTTGAATTTCCTTGTGTAGCATGGCCAGGTTAATGACCATCTGCAAACAGAAGAGAAGGTGGCTGCTTAAACAGAAAAAGATAAACAACAGCGAGGAAGATGACCCCGTTCAGCCTGTAACAGACTGTTGGTCACGTGCTGTTAGCGAGCAGCACCTGTGAAGACCGGCATGGCACATGAGAGGGCGTTGGTGGCCAACACCACAGCTGACCGTCTTTGTCTCCCCAGTACTGATGTTTACACACCATACAAGGTACTCATTTGAAGCTGAGTAGAGCTAGGGGAAGCCCACGACTAGTTCAAATAACGTATAGGCAACGTTTCAGGCAATAGCCCTTGTTCACAGCAGATGGATTATGACATTGTGGTGTTATTACAGAATGTGTTGAGTTTTATATTCTTAGGTGTTTTCGGTAAAGTCACATATGTAAAAATTAAAATTAATAAAAGTAAAATAAAATAAAAATCATGACGTTTCGGAGGCAACACAAGCCTTCAGATGCGCGCTTGCAGATGCGCTTCTGCGGCCAGTCTGGAATGCTCTTCCATCCGATATTAGGAAGTCACTGGGAGCTATGCACTTGTAAATCATCATCTAGGTTTAAAACTGATTGCTTTAGAACTGATTTTTGTGTTTAGTTTTGTTGTCCTTCCCCCGGAGGTCCAATCAGCACGGTTGGTTACGTATGGTGCGAATTAATGTCAACATACATACAATTCTGCAGCAGCACCAAATACAGAAGCTCATTTACAGGGACAGGTGTCTTTAGGAAGTAGGCATGTTGGCCAAAACATCAGGAATATATCAGCAACAGTAAACAAAAAGCAAGTCAACATATTTACTTAACATGTTATTATTTTACGCAACTCACTGTTTTAACTCTGCGATTAAGACAAGAAAACACTTACCCAGCCTATCAGTCCTGGGCGAAGTTCACAGAAATATTTGAAGTCAAAACTGCCGATTCGTGGATTTAATTCGTGACCCATGAAAAAATCGTAAATAAAAATCCTGCAAAAGAGGCGACGTGAGGTCGTGCACATTAGTCGACGAAGCCACGTGCTGAGAAACATGGAGACGTTTGTAAACACAGTACAGTCATATTTGTTTGGCGCAGAATCTGATCGACACAGAGACATCGTCTCTGTCCCTCTTCCAACACTTGCTCACAATGTTCTTTCAAACTGCGTGAAGCGACGAGGAGAACGCCTGGCCCGATCTTGTTTAGTCTTTCTGATTGGTTGTGAATACATGGGTGTGAGATGGGGTAGAGGTAAATATTCATATTTAGGGCGCCGCGGTGGTGAGATGTTAACTGCCTCGCCTGGTATACAGGAGGTCGTGCGTTCGATCCCGACTCTGACGCCTGCTGTACATTTGGAGTTGGCGTGTCTCTCTCCCTGTGGTCTTGTGGATTTTTCTCCGGATCCTCCGGTTTTTCCCTCCACATTTAGAATCAACGTCGCGCGTTTAGAGTATTAGGCATCGATACATTTCCACGTGATAAGCCACTTCATTGAGCTATCATCTGTGGCCAGGTCGCTGCTGAAAAAAAGCAATATCGCTCAGTGGGCCTTACCTGGTAAAATAAAAACAATACATAGCTTCGTTTATCATGGGACCTTTTTTTCCAGTATCAAAGCATGAAAGTAAGCAAAGGTTTTACCCTCTCTGGTAATGCAGACTTCATTCCTTGCAAAAGGAATCTATTTGGTGTTTGAACACCTTAACACCCGTTTCACTGCCAGAAAGGGTAAAACCTATTCTGTTTTTTCATGGCCAGCCCAGTATCAGCAATGCAATTCAATAATTTGTGAATTGCTGTGCCATGCATACGTTGCTAATGGATGATGTAGAGAGCCTGGGGGAACACTCGAGTTATTTATGAAATGGTTCTTATCTCTGAGCTAATTCCAAGAAGGGTGTGCCGAGCTCATTGTATATGCACACAGGCTGTGGAATTTGTGAACCTCACGAATGTCACCTGCTCCAGCTCGGACACTTTCCCACTTTCTGGCTTGTGCGGGGCTGAACTCAAACTCGCGGTGACAGGGGATGACCCCGAGCCAGAATCCGAGCCAGCCATGAGGGATTGCAGAAAACCATTTTGAGCGCGTGGCTCTTTGTGAGAAGTATCTGCGACCGGGCCACCCTGAGGTCAGCCCAGTTCCAGAGATTTGCAAAACGGAGATCTCCTTTGCATCCCCCAGACTGAAGTTGAAACCATGAGCGGACTGGGGCCTTCTCGTCCGTGTCACCTGGATTGGGGGAATCTCTGCCGAGGGCAGTCGGGGGGGAGTCCGGTTCCGTTGGGGCCTTTAAGCTCCACCTAAATTAATTCCTCTTTCAGAAAGCGTTTCCTATTTTTAACTCGGTCACTTCTTACCTATCCTACTGTCCCATCGTCACTGGATTTACGTCAAGCGCCTTGAGATTTCATCATGAAAGGCACCACGGTGGTGAGATGTTAACGACCTCGCCTGGTATACAAGAGGTTGTGGGTTCGAACCCGACCCTGACAATGCCTGTATATTTGGAGTTCGCGTGTTCTCTCCGTGGTCGTGAACATTTTTCTCCAGGTCCTCAAGTTTTTCCCTCCACATTTAGAATCAACGTCCGTTTAGAGTATATGGCTGCAATACATTTCTACGTGATAAGCCACTTCTTTGAGCTATCATTTGTGGCCAGGTCACTCTGAAAAAGAGCTACATAGCTCAGTGGGCCTTACCTGGTAAAATGAGAAAAGTTTGTATACTCTTTCGTTCTTTCGGTAAAGTCACGTAGGTAGAAAAATGCTTACCCCGAGCTCTCATACTCTGATGGTGCATTGTCTTTGAGTTGTGCGCTTTTTGGCGTCATCTGGTCCAACACCATGTGAGACTGGGCTCTAAGAAAAGCTGTCTCGGGTGTGGACCAATCAATTTCAGGACAGTGCATATATTATGAGTTGTGTCTTTTTTTTGCATTCCGACCACAGGTATTGTAGTCAATGCAAACATGACTCCTTGTAAAAAAGGTGTCAGTTTTGTTGCCAGGTAGAAGGGTAAAAAAACAATTATCAATAGATCACAACACAAGCAATTGACGATTGCTTGTGTTGCGATCAAAACGTCGTGATCTATAAATTTTCTATCTACGTGACTTTACCGAAAGAACCAAAGAGTATGGATTCCTGCAGTCACGAAAGCTTCAAATCAAGAAGAAAAGTTTGGTTTAGTTTCAATAAACGGTAATTAGTATTACATTTGTACGTGAATAGCTGTGTGCATATCGTGTAGTTATATGCTTACCTGAATTCCCACCAGTTGCCAGCTCTGACTCGGGCTTATTCAATGAGCGGGCGTACAGGTAAGCGCTGAGCAGTAACGAAATCAGTATGGCCGAGAATGCAAACTGCAGCAGCCGGTCATGAATGTACGAAAGGTCTAATCCGTAATACACAGCCAGGCCAAGAGTTGCCAGAGTAATGATGAAGGCTTGAAAGGCTGATGAGAGAGGACACAAAATACGTGAATGCCGACACACTCAAGTAAAAGAATGCAAAGCTGGATGCGGTGTAAAAGCGGGAATCTAAGACCTCGCCATTTTCAAGATTATACTCCATTATCACAGAAAATGATAGCGTAGGCGAACCTTCTTGAGGCAAATGGCTCACACAGTTGGCTGTTCTTTAGTTTACTCCAGAGTTTACGAGAGTTTACTCGAAATAATGGCCACTGCGTGGATCGTTAGCCTCCATACAACGCGCAAACAGATACAGCAGAACCCCTCTGGACGACGGTAATTGGATTCCACGAAACCGTCGTTCAGTCATTTGGTCATTAAGCGAATTTAGGAAATACACGTTAACGGCTTAATTAATTATGATAGCATCGAAAGTTACCCTTTTCACCCAAAAGACTTACCTTATAAAATTTTAACAATGGATATTATTATATAAAGATAATAATAGCATTATAAACACATACTATTAAAATAAACATGGTGAATCAATACATTCATTTACAACAGCCCGTCCTTAACAAGGGAATGGTCGGTAAGGGAACACATTGAGCGCTATGGAGGCACTATATTACTATACACTACACTATACACTACTATACACTACACTGCACACTACACTGTACACTACACTATACACTACACTATACACTACACTATACACTACTATACACTACACTATACACTACTATACACTACACTATACACTACACTATACACTACTATACACTACACTATACACTACACTATACACTACACTATACACTACATTATACACTACACTGCTATACACTACACTATACACTACACTACTATACACTACACTACATTATACACTACTATACACTACATTATACACTACACTATACACTACAATACACTACACTATGCACTACACTGTACACTACACTATACACTACACTATACACTACATTATACACTACACTAATATACACTACACCACTATACACTACAATATACACTACACTACATTATACACTACATTATACACTACTATACATTACACATTGGGCTACATGGAGACCCGTGGTTAAGTGATTAGTCGTCAACAGGGGTGCTCGTTAAGAGGAGTTTTACTTTAGAAACACAATGAGTTTTATACGAGTACTGCAAAATATACAATTACTTACCGTTTATTTTATATTTAAGCTTCTTCCCATTCTTCAGAGGCAATCCTTCTGCAACCTGTGAACGATGCACAATGAACATGAAAACATTGGCCATGCAATGTGCTCGCATTCTGCTCACAAGGAATGTACCCACGAAATCATTTTAGCCTCGAGGGCTGGCTTACATAAGCGGTTGCATTGTAATGGAGATATATCAACACACGTGCCGTGTCCTTTCTCAGAGATATTCACAATCGTGGCCTTTTTCCCTTCCTTCTATTTAGCTCTGTCGTGAACTTTGTATCACCATAGAGCCAGTAGATACTACGTACACGACTATTGTATGTAGAGTGTGTAGGTGTGTATAGTCAGTAGGTAGTAGATACTACTGACTATTGTATGTAGGGTGTGTAGGTGTGTATAGAGTCAGTAGGTAGTAGATACTACTGACTCTATTGTATGTAGGGTGTGTAGGTGTATATGGAGTCAGTAGGTAGTAGATACTACTGACTCTATTGTATGTAGGGTGTGTAGGTGTGTATAGAGTCAGTAGGTAGTAGATACTGACTCTATTGTATGTAGGGTGTGTAGGTGTGTATAGTCAGTAGGTAGTAGATACTACTGACTCTATTGTATGTAGGGTGTGTAGGTATATATAGAGTCAGTAGGTAGTAGATACTACTGACTCTATTGTATGTAGCGTGTGTAGGTGTAGAGTCAGTAGGTAGTAGATACTACTGACTCTATTGTATGTAGGGTGTGTAGGTGTAGAGTCAGTAGGTAGTAGATACTACTGACTCTATTGTATGTAGGGTGTGTAGGTGTATACGGAGTTAGTAGGTAGTAGATACTACTGACCCTATTGTATGTAGGGTGTGTATAGAGTCAGTAAGTAGTAGATACTCCAATGCTACAAAATAAATACATTTTATTTGGAGGGGTGGGTCAACAATTGTTGTAAACCTGTTGGATCAACTTTTTACCCCCACATTTAGGGGGGGGGGGCTCCACTTTCTCAAACTTGTTGATTCAGGCCTTCTGAAAGGCTCTCTCATAATTTAGTTGATGGACTGATGGACAAACGAAACGCCGGGATTTTACAATTTTACCAGTTGCAATGGACTGCTCATATTGCTTTGGTATTTAATTTGATTGTCAAAATAACGGTTAACTTTTGTTACATTTACATGCAATTGCCCAGAATTTGATTATCATAAACAAGGTTACGTGTATCACTCAAATGACACTTCTAGAAACACCACACGAGATGAATTTGTTCTCAGAAACGATGCCATCTTCTTTGTAACGCTCTTCCGTACAGGCGAGAGAGTGTGTGTCGCAGTGGTTCCGACAGGAAGAGATGCCGTCTGTAACCCAACTTAATCAGCTTGGAAGCTGAACACACGACACACGCGCACGGCAATGCCCCGATCAAGGCACCGGCCTTAAAAAATATAAAACAGAAGTCGTAACCTTTTAAAATTGAAAGGCACGGAAGAAACATGGTTAAAAGTTTGTACATGGCACCATTCTTTGGTACCATCGGTGTTTCTAGAGCCATTGCTCCCCTGCCGCGATTGTGCCTGTGGGTTGTTGGGCAGAACAGCATTCCTTACAAACTGGTTTCTCCACAGAAAGGAGAAAATTGACGCAGCTGAGAGAAGTGCAGGGTCAGTGCTAGCAATGTGATTTAAGAGTACTGCGCTAGCTGCTGGAAGGAAACAGAGAGTAAAATAAAATATTAAAAAATACTACTTTTTAAACATGCTTTAATGAAATGTACTGTCCGAGCTGCCCCTCTCCCTGCCCCCTTCCCCCATCGCCCCTCCCCTCCTTCCACATCCCCCGCCCCTCGGCGTGGCTCCTCGAGGCTTGCCGTGACGTCAGGGACCACGTGGTGATTTACAGGCAACGTGAGTTGAGCGTCGACAATTAGAGCCGTAAAAAATAGTTTAAAAATATATTTTTAATTTTCAATGATAGAATATAGTATTGTCATCAGTATGACATAGCTATACCAAGTTTGCAGTCGATACGACATTGGGAAGACGGTTGAAATTGAGTTACAAGATTTTAGGATACGACAACACACAGAGTAAGTTAAATAAAAGCGTGTAAATGTAAAAAAATATATGTTTTGGATTTTTTATGATAGAATATAGTCTTGTCATCAGTATGACATAGCTATTTCAAGTTTGCAGTCGATAGCACATTGGGAAGTGGGTAAAAATTGAGTTACAAGATATCTTTTTTGAGGATACGACAACAGACGGAGTGAGTTAAATAAAAGCGTGTAAAAACACACGGCCTAAGACCATCGCGGTTGTGCCGTGCCGCTCTCTCTCCGATACGTTTTCAGATCGCGCCACGGGAGGCGTTCCGACGTTTCGCTCCGGCTCCTCTTTCAGCGGCGCTCGACGCAAGCTGATAACCCACGGGGTGGGGGGGGGGGGGAACTAAAGACGGCGCGCGGTTTCTGCCCCCGAACGGCGCGAGAGTGTGTGCGCCCCGGCGGGCACTCACATGTCCAACGGGCAGCGTGTAGAGCAGCGCCTGGAAGAGCATCCACGCCACGCAGATGCCGAACACCTGCGCGTCCCACAGCCAGGCGAGGCCGCCGGGCAGCGCGGGCACGGACAGCACGCCGCTGTCCTGGGACCCGCACAGCAGGATGAGGTACAGGGTGGTGCACGGCAGCAGCACCAGCAGCGCCACGGAGCCTGCGGGGACACGGGCGGCGGCGCCGCGGGATGATGCGGCGGCGTCGACGGCGGCGGCGGCTGACGGCCGGTTGAAGGCCGGGCGCGGCGTCGTGAGTTCGTGCTCTGCACGGTGTTCGGGTTTCCTGCGCTTTGTCAGTCTCAGAGGTGAGTCGGTTCCACCGGCGTTTGAAATGTAACACTCTGACCGCGTGCCCCGACTGGACATCTGTGAACACAAGCTTTGAGGCTCGTCGGATTGCTCCAGTGTAAAAATTCTAATTCGGATTCAATATCCCGGTTCGATATTGGAATGGTGTGCCCAAACAGCATGGGAATCGTTGATGAGTTTTTAAGCTTTAACGTTTTCTTAATTGCACTTTTTTAAATCATCGTTTCTTAAATGTATGCAATTGGTTGTTGTGGGAGTGACGTCATCACATCTATCCCTCTGTTTAAGGAACGAAACAGGAGGATTTCTCCACAACTCTGGCTGTCGCCTGATGAAGCTGGTTGTAATGACTGGTGAAACGTCGTCCTCAGATTGTCAATGTTGTAAATTTTCTCTCCAACACACCGGTTAGTGCTGTACTAGTGACGAATTGGCCACGTTCTGTTTACGTAACAAACCTCGCTAAATGGATGTGTCGGGTGGTGGCGGGTTTAACGACACAATTATATTTACGCGATCTAACCCCAAAAGAAACCTATATCATGGATCAACATAAATGTCTCAATTTGTGCGCCAGATCCTTGCCCAATCCTGGCAAGCCGGCTCAAAGCGCTCAAGTAAACCAACGTACATCCTGCCACCGGTAAAACCGAATCCATCTCATTCCGGTTATAGTGGACCTGGAACATTGAACATTATCTTGTTGGTCTTGTTCACATCATGTATATACTGTACTGGCCAAAAAGAAGATAACCAATATTAATGATATGCATCCATTTGGACAAAATAACAATGCAAAGGTCAAGGGCGGCAGCGATATGAAATCGTTAAATAATCTCATAAATCACTCAAAAAAACGATGTCATATATGTTATATGATCCTTATGGCAGTACCCTGGGGTACCAAATAATACGAAATGGCCGAGGCAATTAAATGTTTTATTTCTGGGACACTATTTTTCCCAGGGGTGTACTTAACTCAGCGACTGGGGTACCAATCAATCCGAAATCAGTGCCATACTCAGCGATGTCAAAATGCAGCGAGGACGATTTCGCTGAGGCCCTGAACGCTCGCGGTACGCACCGTGTTGGTGCATCGTGTACAGCCCGTCGAGACGAGTCGATTGCCGCGTCGCTGACCATCAACAGACTAACAGTGACTGCATCACGGACATAGTGCGAGAGCCAGGGATCGATGGTAACCCCGGGGTACCGCCATATCCATCACCCACCCAGCAAGTGTAAATGCGGCGCGTGGATTTTACAATGGATATCTAATGTGGTAGGTGTGGTAGGTCCCGTGTGGTGATTTCCTTAAAGTGTCTGGAAGCAGTGCAATAACGAATTCTGAATGTGCAGCATGACACAGCGAAGTGGCTGAGTTCAGAGTGTGTGTCTGTGTGTGTGTGTGTCTGTGCGTGCAGTTAGCGCGCTGCGCTCCGAACCCGGGGACCCGGTTCGATTCCCGCTCACGGCTAACACCGGTGACGATTATCTGAACCTGTTCTGGGCCTACGCTAGGTTTACTCAGCCTCAAATGAGTAACTGGTGCGGTGTGTGAACATCGCCACTAAGGAGACAAAGGCGGCCAGGCGTGGTGCTGATCATCCACCCCCCTTTGTGTGCCGTGCCGGCCTTCATAGGTGCTCGCTAACAGCACTTGCACCTACAGTCTGTCACAGGCTATACGGGACATCTTTGTCTTTGCACTGGGTTTATCTCTCAACGACCGGTTTCAAGATCCGACTGTGGGCCCCCTCCATTCTCCCGACTCACTTTAACTGAAATAGCTATGGATGGTTTTAACCCCGTATAACAATAATGTGTTAGGCTACGTAACAATATGAATAATTTCAGTTGCCCCGTATATTGGGTTTAGAGGAAGAGAGTCTCACGGTGACAGTGATTAATACAAAGATGTAGAGGTAACGATACTCCCAGTTTAGTTATCGTGCATCTTTGCCTCCAATGCGCATGTCAGCTAGCAAAACATCCTGGTGCTGTTCAGTAGCAAACACCAGCAGTAGCGCTACCAGATTTTACGCCGTGTGTTTTTTTCGGAAAGATAATATTTTCATTTGTAACAGTGTGGTTCATTGCTGGAAATTTGTGAACAATATTTTTTTTTTTTTAAATTGTACTCGTTCGGGGGCATAACGCTGCCACACAAACCCCACCAGCCCATCCCCTTAGCCGGGTCTAGACATGGGGTCTAGACATGGGGTCTAGACAGGGGGTCTAGACAGGGGTCTAGACATGGGGTCTAGACATGGCGTCTAGACAGGGGTCTAGACATGGGGTCTAGACGTGGCGTCTAGACATGGGGTCTAGACATGGGGTCTAGACAGGGGGTCTAGACATGGGGTTTAGACATGGGGTCTAGACATGGGGTCTAGACATGGGGTCTAGGCATGGGGTCTAGACAGGGGGTCTAGACATGGGGTCTAGACATGGAGTCTAGACATGGGGTCTAGGCATGGGGTCTAGGCATGGGGTCTAGGCATGGGGTCTAGACATGGGGTCTAAACATGGGGTCTAGACAGGGGGTCTAGACAGGGGGTCTAGATATGGGGTCTAGACATCGGGTCTAGACATGGGGTCTAGGCATGGGGTCTAGACATAGGGTCTAGACAGGGGGTCTAGGTGTAGTGACATAAGAAGGGAGGGGCTGCTGGGGGCTCTGGGACCCTGGGTAGGCCAGGCGCTTAAGCCTCTTGGCACCAGGCGCTGGGTTCCCAGGCAGGTCCAGACGCTTAAGCCTATTGGTGCCAGGCGTTGGGTTCCCAGGCGCTTAAGCCTCTTGGCGCCGCCAAAGGGGGGGGGGGCTGTGTGTGCTCTGTGGGATGTCTGGTGGCGCACACGGCCCCACCCCTCGTTGGACCAGGCATAAAAGGGGAGCTCCCTGGACGATCAGGGCGAGTCGTAGCTCAAGACCCAAGACCCAAGACCAGCCATCGGAGGACCCTGGGATGCTGTGAGAGCCAGTGGTGGGACTCTGGAACTCCCGACTCTACGACCTTGTGAGGGCGAGTTCCAGAGCGTAGCCAGAGTAGAGTATCTAGGCTGTGTACCTAGGCTGTGTACCTAGGCTGTAACAGAGTATCAGGACTGTTGGAGAGTTGGAGTGTTGGACTGTTGGAGAGTTGGAGTGTTGGACTGTTGGAGAGTTGGAGTGCTGGAGTGGTGCTGGATTCTAATAAAGAAGTTACCTCTACAAGTGTCTCCGGAACCCGTTACATAGGCATGAGGCACCCATTGTCTACGCTTGGTGTTGAGGGCCGGGGGGCAGGGCTCTGCACTCCAGGGGTGGTCAAGCCACAGCGCTCAGCGTCGAGATGGCGGCAGCGGCGGGGGAGAGTTGCCTAGCTCGGGCGAGTTGGGGAGAGAGCGGCAGGCCTGAAGCGGGGAGTCCACGGCGTGGTGGGTGCATGGAGAGCGTGACGGGGGGCGGGAGGTTACAGTAGGCCACCCTGCCTGCGGCAAACCGTGGCTCTACTTGGTTGCCTGTGCGGTGCGCTTGTGCGTCTGCTGCTGTCCCGCGCGTGGGGATGTGTGCGTGACTGTGGTGACGGTGGGGGCGGCGGTGACTGTGGTGACTGTGGTGACTGTGGTGACTGTGGGGGCGGCGGTGTAGCGCTGCGCGCTGAGCGCTGTGCCACGAACCCGGCGTGCCGAGTTTGATCCCCCCGTTCACGGCTAACACCGGTGGTGGCGATTATCTGAACCGGTCCTGGCCCTCCCCTAGGTCGACTCGGCCTCAAATCATTATCTGGTGCGGTGTGTGGCGACTCACCCCCGTGCCGCCCTTCATAGGTGCTCGTTAAAAGCGCCACCCCAAAGTGTGCGAAGGCTATAAGGGGGGTCTCTGTGACGGACCTGCGTGGAGATCGGCAGTGTGGGGGGGGTTCCACGTGGCGTGCTTTCTTTCCTTTCCAGAAATTCTGCGCTTGCACCTCGCTTTCAAGCTTGCCTAGTCCCTTGTACGCACCCAACCATTTTCTGGACAGGGCCCAACCCTGCCGATGATTCCCAGAAGGTCAAAGCCAAAACGTTATCTAAATGGATAACAAAATGTTATCCACCGGATAACATTTCTATCTAATGGATAACGTTTTTGACGGGAAATCCAATTGGCCGATGGACTAAAAAGCGAGTTGTATTTATATGCGGAGACACGGAAACAGAGTGAGGCTTCCATGCCCTTTCACCCATAATGCCCCACACAGCTGCGCTGTCACTTACCTAGCGGGCCCCCAAACTCCAGCTCCTTCACCGCGGCCTTCCCCTGTCCCATAGTGTCCCTCTGGTGGTCTCTGTCTTTCACTTCTGTGTGCACACACACGCACATTGAAACAAGCAATACTCGCGTTACAAATTAAAAAAAAATTTGATTCTTGGCCGATAACCGTGCGCTCGGACAGATTTCAAAAGCCAACAATTGTTTACAGATCTAAAAGTAAATTTTCTTGGATCTTTCGGTAAAGTCACATAGAGGGGAAACAATACAATTATAAAAATAAAACATAATAAAATACAATTCTCACGACGTTTCGGCCACAACAGCTGTGGCCGAAACGTCGTGAGAATTGTATTTGATGTTTTATGTTTATTATTTTATTATTTCCCTTCTACGTGACTTTACCGAAAGAACCAAGAAGATGAATCCCTGCAGTCACGAAAGCTTCAAATCGAAATTTAAAAGTAAATAATTAAACTATTTTTTTTATCTTTTACTAGGCAAGGCCCACTGAGCTATTTAGATCTTCTTGAGAAGCAACTTGGCCACAAATGGAAGCTCAACTTAGTGGCTTACGACGTGGAAATGTATCACAGCCAAATACTCTAAACGCGTGTGAATTCTAAATGTCGAGGGAAAAGCCGGAGGACCCACGCGACCACGGGCAAAAGAGAACACGCAAACTCCAAGTATGTACGCGTCGTCAGGGTCGGGATCGAACCCACCATCCTCCGGCATACCAGGCGAGGAAGATAACACCTCCTAACCACTGTGACGCCCCAAGATCAAGCAGCCGGGCAAGATGCAATAACCATAGCGGTGTACCAACAGCGCTAAGGCCTAGAGAGCATGGGTGACAACAGTGCAGCCACCCTCTCTGGTGCGGCCTCAAACCGTGAGAGAGAGCGCACGGAAAACCCCGCAGCGCTGCCACTGCTGGGCAGTTCTCCCGACGTGGTTTCGCATTGTCGGTTGCAACTCCAGTTCAAGAAGCTCCCAGGCACACGGAGCGAGACGTCGCGACCCCGAACGAACACGCGGCTGGTGTACAGCCACGCAAACACAACGACGCAGCGTCAAACAGCGTCTACAGCCACGCAAACACAACGACGCAGCGTCGAACAGCGCCTACAGCCACGCAAACACAACGACGCAGCGTCGTACAGCACAAGCGCTAACACCTACGCAGCGGTTTCTAGCGACCCTGCTGTTCGGCGCAGAAGGCCCGGGCGCAGCTGGATCTCAACACAAGCGCACGTGGACATCTGGTTAATGAAATAGATCCCTTGCTGTGTAGTGCCCACGTGAGATTGTACATAAAGTCCCAGCTGTCAGAATGAGGCTCTGTCTAGGAACACCAAGTGCAGATGGATTGCTCTTTACGCGGCTGTCTGCAGAGGTTGACCTTAGACTTTGCTCTGAGGTCGCTATCGCAGCGATCACTCTGACGCGAACACAGTCCGCGCGCCTCCTGTCACAGCCCACGGGGCCCTGGGGCTGGGTGAAACGTCGGACATCGTGCCAGAAGAGACAGCTCTAACTGAAGTCCATGACACGCACACACACTGCAACACTCGGCTCTAACACACGAACCGCAACACACGCTGCAACACAAGCTCTAACACACACTCGCACACATGTACGAACACAACAACAACCGCCAGTCGCCACTAAATGGCGGTAACGTCACCACGACGCTTGTGCCAAGCTAGGTGCACGTTGAGGCCACGTGAAGTGTCGAACGCCCGCTGGCAGGAGGTCACGGAGCAGACCCAGGTGCCACGGGTCGACTGACTGAAACGACTGGCTGATGCACCACCTGTGCCCCCTACTATGCCAACTTGCTGTGCTTTAGCCACCCGGCGCTCCGCTCGTTGTTGTGAGCGTCGCTCCTCCGCCCTCCGTTGTTGCTGGAGGGCGACTGCCTCTAACTGCCCAGTAGCGTCCTTCACGAGCCTCTTCCTCCACAGAAGCCGATCTTGACACCGCTGGTACCAGTCATCGGCAAGTCCACTCAGCTCCACGTCCTCCTGTACCACATCACTCCATCTCTTCTCTAGCCCGTTTAGCCCCCTCGATCCGGCCGAACAAAAGCTGTTTAGGCATGCGGTGGCTGGGCATGCGGGCTACATGACCCAGCCAACGCAGCCTTGCCTGCCGGAGGAGCTCACTGATGGGACTTTGCCCAGATCTTTCAAGGATTTGTGAGCTCCTCACACAATCCAGCCTGGTTAAACCCAGGATGGATCGTAGGCAGGCCAGCCTAAATGTTTCCAACCGGAGAAGATGCTCCAACGCACGCGCACGAACACACGCTGGTGCTAATACACATGTTCTAACACACAAGACGCATGTTCTAACACTCAACATACATGTTCTAACACTAACACACAACACGCATGTTCTAACACTAACACTCAACACGCGTGTTCTAACACTAACACATGTGTTCTAACACACAACACGCATGTTCTAACACTAACATACAACACGCGTGTTCTAACACACAACACGCATGTTCTAACACACAACACGCATGTTCTAACACACAACACACATGATCTAATACTAACATACAAAACGCATGTTCTAACACACAACACGCATGTTCTAACACACAACACGCATGTTCTAACGCTAACACACAACACGCGTGTTCTAACACTAACACGTGTGTTAACACTAACACGTGTATTCTAACACACAACACGCATGTTCTAACACTAACATACAACACGCGTGTTCTAACACACAACACGCATGTTCTAACACACAACACACATGTTCTAACACTAACATACAACACGCATGTTCTAACACACAACACGCATGTTCTAACACTAACACGCATGTTCTACCACTAACACACAACACGCGTGTTCTAACACACAACACGCGTGTTCTAACACTAACACACAACATACAACACGCGTGTTCTAACACTAACACACAACGCGCGTGTTCTAACACACAACACGCATGTTCTAACACACAACACACATGTTCTAACACTAACATACAACACGCATGTTCTAACACACAACACGCATGTTCTAACACACAACACACATGTTCTAACATACAACACACAACACGCATGTTTTAATACACAAGACGCATGTTCTAACACACAACACACATGTTCTAACACACAACACACAACACGCATGTTCTAACACTAACATACAACACGCGTGTTCTAACACACAACACGCATGTTCTAACACACAACACACATGTTCTAACACTAACATACAACACGCATGTTCTAACACACAACACGCATGTTCTAACACTAACACGCATGTTCTAACACTAACACACAACACGCGTGTTCTAACACACAACACGCGTGTTCTAACACTAACACACAACATACAACACGCGTGTTCTAACACTAACACACAACGCGCATGTTCTAACACACAACACGCATGTTCTAACACACAACACACATGTTCTAACACTAACATACAACACGCATATTCTAACACACAACACGCATGTTCTAACACACAACACACATGTTCTAACATACAACACACAACACGCATGTTCTAACACACAACACGCATGTTCTAACACGCAACACGCATGTTCTAACACACAACACACATGTTGTAGTTCTGCAGCACCTGCCACCGTTCCACACCAAGCGAGTTCGCGAGTCCCTGACCCGCGATTCAACGTCCACGATCCACACCGATGTCACGATTCGATTCGATTCCGTTTGTCTACGTAGCACCGTGTCGTGCGCTCTCCGCTATTCCCCCCAATCATTCGACACCTGGGACCCCCCCCCCCCCGCAAGAGGTTGCTGCCCACGCGCGTCAAATACCGCGCACAATCTGATGTAGCGATGCAAGTCAAAGAAGAAGATTGGAGAATCTATTGTCGACTACTTTGAATCGAGAATCGTTGAGTCGCGGCCCCCCGGCCTCACGCGCGCCGCGCCACTGCGCGCCCATTGGCCGCTCGCGCCCTTGCGACGTGACGTCACGAGGGGGTGGGGCGTGTCGCCACGATATGGCGATATCGCGATATCACCACGATATGGCGATATCGCGATATCACCACGATATGGCCACGATATAGACGATTGCTACGATATTGTAGCGATATCTATTACTTAGAATCGCTATTGTTACGATATCGAAGATCCTAGCGGTATCTTATATATCGTGGCGATATAAATAAAAGATATCGCCACGATTTGGCGACATTACGATATGAAGGTATGAATATGAACATCGTATCGTGATGTCGTCGAGGGACTGGGACCAGCCGACCTCCGAGGTCCCGGGATGTCGCCAACTTGGATGGGGACACATTCGTGATTTGCCCTGAACTACAACTTAATGAGCTCGTAGGTTGAAGGAGAAACAGAGGAAACACAAAATGCTGCTCTAAAGAAATTCGTTTTCAATCTTGGAGAAATTCGTTTTCAATTCACGCAGTTTTTTTGAATGTGTACATTTTGTGAATTATATAAATACACATGTACACTCCCACGACGCTGCTGATGATGATGATGCTGCTGATGTATTCGGTCCGAACACTCTGTAGCGCTGACCCCACTCACTCACCCCACTCACCCCGCTCACCCCGCAGCTCACCCCGCAGCTCACCCCGCCGCTCACCCCGCCGCTCACCCCGCTCACCCCGCTGACCCCACTCACCCCACTCACCCCACTGACCCCACACTCCCCACTCACCCCGCTCACCCCATTCACCCCACTCACCCTATTCACAACGTGCAGCAGCGTGGTCCAGATGTCTTGTGGCCCCCAATAAACTTGACCCCTTTGCTTATTAATTCCTGCGTTCACTCCCACTGAGTATGCAACAAATACTACGGTTACAATAATTCAGTGGGGGTCACAAGGCATCTGGACCTCCCTGTACAGTAGCCTGTGGTGAAGTGTCACGTAATCGGTGACGAGTGTGTCCAGGAGGCACCTTCTTTATTGACACCTTCACACTTCACAGGTTCGCCCCTACACTCACCTGGGTCGTCCTGCCGAGCCTAAGCACAACCCTCACCATGCAACACTGATGGCGATGACCGAGACAGCCAACTACTGTCCGGCAGCACAATGATCTAGCGAAGGCGTCAGCGACGAAGGCAGCGAAGAATATGAACATCGTATCGGCGAAGACGACGGTGCCGACGAGATGAGTCCATTCAGACGCTGTCTTTCCGACAGACCTGTTCTTCACCTGAGGACGGCTGCTTGCGTTGTGGCCGAAACGTCGTGAGAATTGTATTTTATTATGTTTTATTTTTATTGTTTTATTATTTCCCTTCTACGTGACTTTACCGAAAGAACCATGAAGAGACGAGTCCACTCCCAGAAGCGGCAGCCCCGAGCTCCCCGCTCTCCGCTGCTTTTATGCTCCCCGGCACGGCCTGGCTCCGCCCTGGCCGCGCCTCCCTTCTCCAACCCACTAGCGGGTTCCAGGGGCTTCCAGATGGGGTCTTCCATGACCCTTGCCCCAGTTCCTCCGCCCTGCCGACACACACAGCCGTGTATCTGCTCACCGGCGTGTGCGCTGTTTGTCCACCGCAGTTGTCGCTGCTGGACAGCCGCCGGCGCTATTACACTACATGGGTATAATGCAAACGCTTCCACAATAAATGATCACCACCCGACAAAGCCAATGAAATCCAGTTGTCACGTGGGACAAATGCGCCCAAATTAATTTGGTTCATCGGCAACATTGGAGGAGTGTTGAAAAGTCCAAGCAAAAAAGATTTCATTATTATTCATTTTTTACACGAAATTTCACTGGAGATTACACCTCACATTATGCACATCATTGTTTCGTTGTACAGTTTTATATTTTTTACATTCCTCCGACGGGTTTTGCTGATAAACCAACTCAATTGGCATAGTTGCCCACGTGACAACTGGATTTGATTGGCTCTGTCAGGCGGTGGAGAGTGACCATAATTCCGACACGGTCTAACCCGAAATAAACTAATTTTGAATAACAATTCATAAAAAACAAAAATGGGCGTGAAAGCCTCCGTATGAAACAAATGTGTTCGTTACAACAGATTTTGTTTCATTCTCAGAACTGTAACATCATACGGCATTGAAGATTAAAAGTGTATGTATGTACGTTGAACGTCTTTCGCACCGGACGTGCTATCATTTGTGGCTGTGTAGCCTACATGCTGTTCCTCTGGGACAAAACGCTTTACACCTCCTGGGAATGATAGCTGTCGCGTACTGTGCTTAGGTGGGACACGTGTAGTGACGCAGATCGGAGACAGTACGCCTGGAGGCACTTCTTTATTAACAAGCACCATCGGGGTAACACACAACACACTACGTGGGTGCACACCATTATTACAACGACCGTCTATTGTCGGCGGTACTACTTAGTTGGAACAGTTGGTAGCAGAGGTCGCAACCGGGTACCCGATACCCGTACCCTACCCGATACCCGGGTACCCGTACCCGGTATCGGGTACGGGTAGCCGTTTGCGACCCTGGTACGGGTAAGGAATCAAAACCCGTTTGCGACCTCTGGTTGGTAGGCTGTCTGACTAACAGCGCCCCGGGATGGAGAAGACGGAGACGACGACGAGGAGAAGGTGACGACGATGTACTTGAACAGCACGACGGCGATCCCACTTCCAGCAACAGCCCCGAGCTCCCACTCAGGGCCCCCTCTTATACTCCCAGCGTGGCTCCGCCTTGGCCACGCCCCCCTTCTGGAACCATCTCGCGGGTTCCGGGGGCTCCCCGATGGGCCACTCCGAACCTGTCCCCTCGATGTCCCCCTCTCGTGTCTATCGTGGCCTGTTGACGTGAACACCGCAGTTACCCTTTTCCGCCAGCAGCCAGCGCTATACCACTACAAATGTTACATGTGTAGTGACTAACTCGGGGTTAACATGCTTAATAGGAATTAGTCCGTCTATTGCCGGCGACGATCCTCAGTCAGGACAGTTGGTAGGCCGCCTGACTGGCGGCGGCGGCGCCCCGAGACGGTGACGAGGAGGAGGAAGGTGAAGACGACGAGAAGAACGGTGACGAAGACTCCAGCAGCACGCCGGGGAAGACCGCTTGTGCTGCGATCGAAACGTCGTGGGTTTTTTGCTTTTATTATTTTCAATTTTTTATTTTGAATTTGTATTTAAATTTATTATCATTTATTTTCTATCTACGTGACTTTACCGAAAGAACCAAGAAAAAATGTAGATTATGTGGTGATCACACCCACACACGCTGTATATACACAATATGGATGATGTGATCACACACACACGCTATGTATATACACAATATAGATGATGTGATCACACACACACGCTATGTATAAACAATATAGATGATGTGATCACAAACAACAATACTAAGGAGGCGGACTTTAGAGTAACGGATCGATACTAACTGTATACAACAAATCGATCCAGTACAGAATCGCGATTCCTGTGACGCGGGAAGAGGAATCGAGCGGCGAGCTCCACGCGCGCCCCGCCAGCGAGCGACGGGTCGAACGCGGGAGGAATCGATTCCAACAAACGGAATCGACGACGCTCGATTGTTCAGGAGTCGAATCGCCCGAGTCCAATGGCGCCCGCTCGCGAGTTGGGATAGAGGAAGAAGGCTTCACGAGTTTGCGTCTCATCGAGGAAGAAGAAGAGCGGATGACGACGAGGAGGTGGTGGTGGTGGTGACGAGGAGGTGGTGGTGGTGACGAGGTGGTGGTGGTGGAGGAGACGCGGCGCCATGGCCAAGGACCTCCCGCCCGGCAACCCGGAGCTGATCGCCGCCATCGTTGACCACCTCAAGTCTCAGGGCCTCTTCGACCAATTCCGCAGAGACTGCCTGGCGGACTTCGACACCAGGGTGCGAGTGGGGAGACACGGGGACACGGGGGGAGAGACACGGGGAGAGAAACACGGGGACAGAGACACGGGGAGTGGGACGCTGGGAGACACGGGCAGAGAGGGGGAGACACGGGGGGTGAGACACTGGCAGAGAGAGAGACACGGGGAGAGAAGGGGAGACATGGGGACAGAGACACGGTTAGAGGGGGAACACGGGGAGACACGAGCAGAGAGGGGAGACAGAGAGGGACACGGGGAGACAGCAGAAGGCAGAGCTACATGGAGACGCTAAGGGCACAGGCATGGAACAAGCAGAGCACACGGAGCCAGAGCCACTCACCCAGAGAGACTCACCCAGAGAGACTCACCCAGAGCCACTCACCCAGAGCCACTCACCCAGAGCCACTCACCCAGAGCCACTCACCCAGAGCCACTCACCCAGAGCCACTCACCCAGAGAGACTCACCCAGAGAGACTCATCCAGAGCCACTCACCCAGAGCCACTAACCCAGAGAGACTCACCCAGAGCCACTCACCCTGAGAGACTCACCCAGAGCCACTCACCCAGAGCCACTCACCCAGAGCCACTCACCCAGAGAGACTCACCCAGAGAGACTCACCCAGAGCCAGAGAGACCCCGACTGACTCACTCACTCGAGTCCACCCCGGCTCAAGCTCGACCCCTGAGTCTTGTCAGAGAACTCGCGGCTTCGTCCACCACCACGTTGAGGTGACGTGACCTCGCCTGTCATGCTCCGTGGTCTACGGGTCGTCCCCTAGGTCGACTAAGCCTCAAATGAGTACCTGGTGCGGTGTGTAAACATCGCCACTAGGGAGACAAAGGCGGCC